TGTTGGTACTCATGTCTCTCACTTATGCCGACAAGTTCGGCCATTTTGAATGTTCAATTAATTTTTGACAGCTGCTTTGCTTGCACGTGTTTTGGCTCGTCTTCGATTTTTGCCTATTCCAAAAAATGGATCAAAGAATCTGTATCAAATTTTGTGTGAAAAACAAAATTAAGTGCGCGGACGCATTCCGAATGTTGACTGTGGCATATGGTGAAGCTACCTTGGACCGAAGCAACGTTTATCGGTGGTACAAAATGTTCTCAGAGGGCCGAGAAGATGTGAACGACGAAGAGCGTGCCGGACGTCAACAACAGACGAAAACATTGATGAAATGAAGAAAATAGTATTGGCCAATCGTCGAATCACCGTTAGAGAAGTTGCTGAGGACCTAAACATATCGATTGGCTCATGCCATTCGATTTTTACCAATGATTTGTGTATGAGACGGGTCGCCGCGAAATTCGTACCAAAATTGCTCAATTTCGACCAAAAACAGCATTGCATTAACATTGCTAAGGAGCTGTTGGACTCTGTCCGCGACGACCCAAATGTGCTCCAGAGGGTCATAACTGGTGACGAATCATGGGTTTATGGTTATGACGTGGAAACCAAAGCTCAATCATCCCAATAGAAGCTGCCGCACGAGCCAAGACCGAAAAAAGCGCGCCAAGTTCGGTCGAATGTAAAGGTTTTGCTTACAGTTTTCTTCGATTGCAAGAGCGTGGTGCATCATGAGTTCTTGACACAGGGTAGAACGGTCAATAAGGAATATTACCTGCAAGTTATGCGCAATTTGCGCGAAGCAATCCGCCAGAAACGCCCGGATTTGTGGAAGAACAAAAATTGGCTTTTGCACCATGATAACATCGTTGCTTATGCGCGAATTTTTGGCCAAAAACAACACTAATAATGCCGCAGCCACCGTATTCCCCAGATCTGGCCCCCTGTGACTTTTTCTTGTTCCCGAAACTGAAGAGGCCCATGAAAGGACGACGCTACGCTACGATTGAGGAGGTAAAGACGGATATAAGACGGTCGAAGGAGGAGCTGAACAAGATCACAAAAAATAATTTTTTTAAGTGCTTCGAGGATTGGAAAAAACGTTGGCACAAGTGTATAATATCTGATGGGGATTACTTTGAAGGGGAAAATAGATATTCATGAATAAATAAATAATTTTTGAAAAAACACAAAATTCGCGATAGTTTTTGAACAGTTTTTGACCTCGTATATATTTAAAATACGCATTCGGACAGAAAAAAATTTCAATTCATTTTAATCCATTCTCGATTGCTGGGCATCAATTTAATTCTACTGACCTTATTCTTAACATGGTGCCCTGAAATACTTTATGATTAGACATCTGGGATTATTTTTTTGTGCATGTACTCCAATAAACTCCACTTCTCGTCACAAACACTGCGTTGTTAACTATTCTTTCGCTTATATTTTATTGCCTCTGTAAGAAAAACGGACCACAAAGTATATTTTCTTATTGGCATAAATGAATAAAAATGCATTCAGCATTGAAAATTTATTTTAACATTTGTGAATCAATATTTCTGAAAATCTGAATTCATTTTAATTCATTTCAATCTCGTTTGCTGGGAGGAAAGTAAATCATAAGTTGATGTAGGTTTTTCTTATTAACTCGAGACGCATTAGTCCAACACGTAAACAACGTATGGAACAGATTTCGCGACCGATCTGAAATATGCCAGCACCAAGCTCAGTCAATGAAAATCAGATTACAACGGGTGATTGATAACAATGGCTTCTGAATTAATTGTTCTATTGTGTTATAAAGACGTTATGTGTTATATGTGTTATGTTTATTTATGTAAATAAAAATATTATGTGTTATATTACATTTATTACAGGATGTATCTGAAATAATGCCCTAATCATACAGTACTATTCCTAATAAAAAATTGAATTGAAAAGTTCTCTATTATTTTGCAATTTTCGCAATATTTTTTTTAGTTATCCAATGAGCAAAATATCTAAAAATCGTCGTATAAGTCAACTTTAAGACATCTATAAGAGTTCTTTAAGAAACATCTTCAAAATATTTCACAAAGAATACTGAATGATATCTTAAAATTGTCATATATCGATTTTATCCGTTTATTCGACAATCTTTCGAAATTAATATCTCGTTAACTATTGCGAAAATTGCAAAATGGTAGAGGACTTTTCGATTTAGTTTTTTATTAGGAATAGCACTATATGATTAGTGAGTGTTATTTCAGATATACATCCTATATATCATATTATATTATATGAAATTGATTCATATTTTAAATATATCTATCCATCAACTTGTATCTCCAATGTCTGTTATCAAACATATAATATATATAAATATGTATAAATTACATCTTTATACAAATCTTTATTCAGCAATAAGAAAAACCTACGTCGACTTATGATTTACTCTCCTAAGCATCAATTTAATTTAAGAAAACATCAATTTAATTTGAAAATTGATTTATTGTATTCATTAAAAAAGATTTATTTCGATAAGATGATACGAGTACATTTCATATGTAAAAAGGAAAGAGAAAAAAATTAGATATTCTTTAACTTTTCTATTTTCCTTTAAAATATTATATTGTAGTTTATAAAGTTTCTAAAGTTTAAAAAAATGTTATAAAAAAATGTTATAAAGAAACTTGAAAAATATATTATGCATAATATAAAGAAAGTATATAGAATGTTTTATATAATAATAATTACTATCAAAGATTAAGGAACAATGTTTTTATTTCGCTTCGTGTGAATAAAATTTATTATCTTTAATTATTGGTGCAATCAATTACAAGATTTGCAAGAACACAAATAATGTTAAAAATTTCATCGGCTTTACTTATGAGATAGATGCAGGCATTGTAAATCTCCTAAGATTTGAAAGTTTTTAATCTCTGATTGCTCCTTTCAAAGCACTCGTGCTGTTGCAATATTACGGATTAATAATGCATTCGCTTTTAAAAATTGTTTTTGTCTTTTAGAAAAAGAGGTCTGACAAGTTTTATATCATTTAGTTTACAAATATCGTCAATTAAAAACCCTTTATCTGTCATAATTGCAACTGTTTTATTTAATTGTTTAATGATTTTATTTTGCTCGAATATTGATTTATCAGAAGCACGTCCACCACATTTACTCACAAATGAGATCAAACCAGCTGATGTTACACCAGTTATAAATTTAATTGTGTAATTACTTTTGTAACGCGAGAAAGTCTATTTTTAGAGGTTTCCTTGTGCACAGATTTTACAAGAGTTTCAATTATATTGAGCAAATCAAAACTATAAATGCCAGTTAATGTACTTAATTCTTTATCAGAAGTGATAATACTTGAAAATTTTTTTGACAAACATGTGATCACTTTGAACTTATACTTCTACATCCTTTAAATTTATTAAGGAAGTTTTGACACTATTTTCTTCTACTATAACTTCTACAGAACGTTCAGGTTTATCAATTAGTCTAATTACAGGCATTGCTTCTTGTTGTTCTTGGATTTTGATTATCAGTTGTTTTTTCGAAAGCAGTAATCCGCATTGTCATGTCTTTTTTCGATCATGAATTTTTTACTAATAATAGTTTTATACGAGATCTTTTAAGTCATCTTTCTTCTCTGCATTTTGCTTGAATTATTTTTTGCGGACTGACGTCTTTTTTCGTTAATCTAATGAATAGATTAAGCAATGGAATGCTTGTTTTTTTTAAATGATATAAACTTGCATCTTCTAAAAAAATATGTTATAATAAGACTAGTTTTTTAATAATTTAAATACTGAAGAATAATAACGTTACAAAAATGACAATTATAATGATACTTACTTGATGATATAAAGTCTTCTTTCGTAAAATGAAGAGAACACACCTTCCATGAAAATAGAAACTTTTTTTCCTATTTTTAATACTTTGATTCATGTTCGATGATCAATTGCTTCTTCTGTATCAAACTTATTTTAACCTAACGAGATTTTTGTTCTCTTGAGAAAAATGAAAAAACTCTAACAGTGCTATAGAACCGAGACTGATGTAGCCAAAGACACAACAAAAAACTTTACTTGTTCGCGGTGAAAATTTCATGATTTACTCACTTTGCAATTTGTATTGCAATTTTACTAAAATTCAACTAACAAAGTTACCTATCCGCACTAATTTCGATATCTCCCGCCAAGTAGCATAACGACACATCGAATTTTCCAATACTTAGCATTGTTGTATTACAGAAACATGCCAGTTTTTGAGAATGTCTCTCCGTCACAAATCTTAATGAATAGGAAACTAAAGATTACAATTCCTGATAGCGATAAAAACTTAAAATCTAAATTAATAGACAAAAGAAAGTACAATAAAATATTGAGTAAAAAATCAAGAAAGTCAACAACAAATAAAAGAGAAGTAAAGAGGTTGACAGAATTGTAAAATGGCAATACAGTTAAAACCTAAAGGTAATTGGATACTAAGAATTGTAGTACAAAAAATTAGAGATAGGACATATCTTGTAAAAACAGACAGTGAATCTGAGTATGTAAGAAACAGAATATTTATTAAAGCAAATAAGCAGGGTGAAAGCAAAGATACAGAAAAGAAGCACTGTCTATTTCAATAAAAAAGACTGTCTAAATCAATAAAAAAGACAAAGTCGAAATAGAATCTAAAAAATATTATATCTAGAAGAAACAAGAAATGACAAAGTAAATGGGCGATGACTCGGATACAGAATATGATAGAATATATCAGGGGGAGAATCAATGGCTAGTGAAATAGAAGTTAACTTGGAGATAACAGATGTGACCGCGCAAATCCTCATTAAGATAAGAAGTGATAGATCTGTCAAACAATAGGCTGAATTTGTGAGTCAGAATAGAAAAAGGAGGATGTTAGGGAGTATCTATGTAAGTGGAGGTCCCTGTAGGCAATACTCCATCTGGTGTGTGTGTAACTTATGGCGCATAGAAAAAATAAATGAAGTCTCAAAAGCTCACTATACTAATTTATTCGACTCCTCTCCTGTTACAACATCGATACAACTACGATACATAAAAAGTACGCTTAACAGTTGTCACTTTTATAATTGTCATAACTATGAATTTTTCTCTTAGTGCACCTAATATGCATAATTACTCATTTTTTTAACTCATGAATCAATTTTTCTAGTTTGAATAAAGCTCTTCTTTTTTCATTTTTCAGACATTAATAATTCACCTAATTGTTTAAACGAAACGTATAAGGTCTCAAAAGATGTGAAAAAGCAAGATATACGAGGTGTGGCTATTAAACAACGAAACTGTAAAACATTTTATTTTGATTTCATACATATTTACTTATTATCACCTTCAATATACACCCCTCCTCTATCCCTACAACGCTCCATGCGAATCTTCCATTGTTTGAAACAGTGCTGAAAGTCTTCTTCTGTCAGCTCCTTCAGAACGCGTGCCGCTTTCTCTTTCACAGCTTCAACGGACTCAAATCTTGTTCCTTTTAATTTTATGTTATTTTAATTTAATGTTATTATCTTTTCCAATAAGTTGGGGTCATTTTCAATGGCATTCAAAGTGTCAGTACAAAAATTTTTGCGAGCTTCTTGTTGTTCAAACGTGAGAATTTTACCATTTTGACACACACTTTTTTCATGTTAAAATTGTTATGTAAAATTTGCCGTACACATTCTTTGTCAATTCCTATAGTTTCACCAATCGCACGAATACTTAACCTACGGTCGGATTGAACCAGATTACCGATTGTTTCGATATTGTCATCCGTTTTTGACGTGGAAGGGCGACCCGGGCGTGAATCATCTTCAACGTCTTCTCGGCAGTCTTGGAAACGCTTAAACCACTCAAAAACACGTGCACGCGATAAACATTCATGGCCATACACTTCTTTCAATAAATTATAAATTTCAGTAGCGGTTTTTCCAAGTTTCACGTGAAATTTCACAACAATTCGTTGCTCTATTGTTACACTTATCATTTTTCCGGTGAAACAAAAAACAACTCTAATGTGAAAGAAGATTACGGCTATACGGATTTGTTTACAGAAGAGGTACTGCATTCGAAAGAGAAGGCTTCACGCTAAACAGCTGTCGGTCGCTGGCGTTTGGCGCATGCGTACTTCTTCTATAGCAACCTCAGTCTCGTTATTTAATAGCCATACCTCATATTTTAAAAAAAAGTAAGCCGACTTTTGTAAAAAAGAACGCTATAAAAACCAATGCTGATAGTGTAACGACACAAAAATTAAGCCGGGAGCACGAGTTGCCGATATCCGGGTTAAAATTTGAGTTAAAATTTTACAGAAATTATTTTTTTGTCAATTAAAACCATTTTAAGAGGTAAAGAGAAAAAAATTAGAAAAAATTAGAAAAATAAGAACCACTCTGATATACATATAAAAGATTTAATCTGGCAGAATTAACACAGAAGCTTTTGATGATATTGTAATCCCAATAAGGTAAGGAAGCGAGGGGATTGAAACCCTTCGTTATATTGGAATTCAACGAAAGTATAAATAAAGTATGCTGTTTGTTCTCGAAGAACAATTCTACGAGACCTATATTCCTCCTTAATTGATAAAGCTACGCATGACTCGTTGCGTCGTCCCGATAGATTGAGAATTTTCACAACAGAATATCCTTGCTTAGGAATATCTTATAAGATGCATATATTACATATTTTTCTGTCGTTCCGCATTTTGTACAATTCTTAGCAACAAATGGAAGATATTTCTTGACATATGTAAACGTTAAATATACCATTTGATGCAAAACGGTCACGCACTTTGCGTAAAAAATATGCTGGTATTACATCAGCATATTTCACATATAATTTGTTATTTTAAATTATTGCATATCCTATACAATTATTAATACTTTTTCATTTTTGAGCTATAAGGTGAAAAGATGTAATAAATCCCGTTTTCCTAAGTATGATGACTCGCACTTACAATTTGTTAAACAACTAATTGACTATTACACATTCCAAATTTGAGAGACTTTTCATGCTGTACTTTGTTATTATTTTTACAATTACTTGATATTGTTCCAAGAATTCAAAAATTTGCAAAACTGCTAAAAATGATTCGAATTGAGCCAAAACGTTCGGTCATTATATCTATGTAAAAACTGAAACTTTATTGATAATATAATCGATTACTTTAAGGCTTTTAATTGCCCGATTTTTCCTTTTGATGTTGTTTTAACATCTCAAGAATCCAACTCTGTTTATCTCTTTTTTTATAGATTTCCTGCTTTAAAAACAAAAATTTTATTTGAAAACATTATTTTCTTATATAATTTTTGTTTTTATATAAGATGCGATCTCACTTCACGCTGTAAATACTTTGAAGTGATCAATTCTAAAATTCTTTCTGTTTGTTCTTATAGATTGGTCAATGAAGTATTTGCAGCGTTAAGTGGATCACACTCGTAGCAGAGGAGGAGATGGGGTGGAAGTCGCTTCGCATGGACAGTTGTAAAATATATTTTAAAGCAGAAAATTTTTGTTCTATATGGTAAAAAAAGATATAATTTTTCAAGCTTTCCTTCTTAATAATTTTTTAATGAGTAACGAGCGATGGCTAGAACTTGTTAGAAGTTACTTCGGATCATGACCTTGACAACATATATCAAAGTTAAGGTCATTGGAGGGGATTCTCCTACAGATAAACAGGATATTTACCTAAATCTTAATTAATTTCTGCCTAAATTTTAAATATCATCATGTCAAACTAAATATTATCATGTCATCCAATTATAGTTTATTCATTTCAAATGTCAGAAATTATACAGACAATACACGAAGCTATATTTATATGGAAAATAATAAACGACAGAGTAATACGTACGTGCATTTAAAATGACACTTTTTTAGCAGTCACATCTTCTTCTAAAATAAATATAATCAAAAAAAATTCTCATTTTTCATTGCAAATTCTTATAATAAAAACATAAGATAAAAAAATAAAAATTTTTGTCATAAATAAGTTTTTTAACAGCATATGATAACATATTTTATTCATTATAAAAATCGAAAAAAATGCGAGCTAATTAACAGCAGCATTGTAATTTTGATATCGATTAATTACAGTTATGACTTCTGTCAAACCGTATTTGAAAAGTTATAAGCTAAATTAATTGAAAAAAGTTCTCCGTTATAGACTACTTGTAGAAATAAGATGATTTTTGCTTCTGTGTAACAAGTATTAGATTTAATAAATTATAAAAAGTTAATTAAAATCACTTTATTCTTAAACATATATATATATATTCGAATTAAATCGATTATATTTAAGTAATCGATATTTTTATTTCTTTGTAAAGTTACGCAGAGTACAATGCTAATTATACACGTATCTTTGTGGTATAATATATTAATGTCTCATTATACGTTTACATTTCATTACATCACATCGAATGGACATGGTGCTGAAGTTGCTGTTGTTGGTTATGTACACACGCTTGTATTAAATTGTGCTGAGAAATGAACTGAGAATGAATGTACAATCATTATAATATTCGCAATGACACATTTAGAAACGAGCATTTAGCATCAATGTAATGGCACGAACATATCGTTCTGAGATTTATAATAATTATAATCAAGACTAAAAGGATTTATACATAGTATACAGGGACGTACTAATTTGAGAGAAGTAAAGACTGACTTGAGAAAAGAAGATTTACGTATGCATTTTTATCTTAAATGTTAATAATATTGGTCGAGTATTATTGAACCGCCTTGTTATCCCGAGCGATATTGCAAAATTCTCGCTCGTTCTCGTCGAACTATCTGATTATAACTTATTATTTGCTTATACCAAATATATTTGGAAAGTGCTTCATCTCAAGCGTAATATGCTTGCGACACCGTTAAATGTCAACGTTGTTTTATTTATTCTTTCTCTCTCTTCTTTCTTGTGTATGATTTAAATTTTCTTGTATTATCGCATATATCGTATAAGGAAAGGCCAGTATTAAGTTTAAAAGTTTCTAGACGATCAAATGACCAAGTCACGTGAATAAACGTGTGTGTCTAACGTAGAACAGATTTAACCTATGATCTGTCAAGTTTAACGTCTAGCAATGCATTTCATTATTCATTTATTAAGAGCGACGAGTGCCACGCGAATCTAATTAACGTTACATTATAACCGACTAATTTTATTTACGTGACTGGTCAATAATTCTTTTAATCTAATTTGATTTCAATGTATTTTAATTCTATTGCGCGTTTTGGCCCCTCGTCCGCTGCAAAAAAAAATTTATATACTACTGGCATACAGCCCTCGATTAAAGTCTGATTTTATGAAACAATTAAGTCAATTTTACAATGTGTACTTACAATAATATACAACGTGTATTATTTGTATCCTTGTAATAAGAAATAAAGTAAACGGTTTGAATAGAAAACATTTTGCTCATTTAAATTTTGCATAAAAGTATCCAAATAATACCGAAAAAATTGAATTTAAAACAAGATTTAGTCGAGCATAGTTAATTTTTTTGAATCTGCTCGGTTTTTAAGTTAATAATATCTATGCTAAATTTTTAATTTAGCTGATTTGGTCAAACTACATTGCAAGATGATAATAAGAAGAGGATAAACATTATCTATTATATTATGTTAATAGCTTGAAACATCTGCTTCATAGTAATAACGTGAATTCTTAAATGAGGGAAATTAAATAAATACAGGACGGATATGTTCAATCTCGAAATAGTGAGATTATTCTATACTATACATCTATATATTAATATATGTGTATATTAGAGCTCGGAAAAGGAACAGGTAACGTAAAATTCAGGTACCCTCCCGCAGATCCGTTACTCACCCATGTATATGACTCTGGATCAATTCTCGCTAATTCGGATATCCGCAGAACCGCGTACGATGCAAGTACCCGCGGAACTGTTTGCGATACAGGTATCCGCAGAATCATGGGCAATACAGATACTCGTTTCAATACGGATATCCGCTATATGCTACAGATACCTGCATGTAATTTTATCAATTTTAAAGATGTTTTAGAATTGTTTATATTAATTTTCATTTTTTTGTAGTTAAACAGTTTGAATTAAGGATGTACAGTTCCTGCAAAGCAAATTAAATTTGAAACGTGTTTAATATGTAACATCCATAATGCGAAAACAAAATAGTTTATATAGTTTCGGAATATTTAATTACAAACGGAATGAGAATCATTGCAAACAATTGTTAAACACATACCTTTAAAATTGACAAAATTACACGCAAATATTTGTAGCATCATATCACTCACGATTCCTCCACGAGTATCCGTACGGTTCTGCGAATTCGTTTCGTACAAGGTTCTGCAAGTATCCGAATAACCGGTCCAGGACCCCTATTCTTGAAAAGAAACGTATACGAAAGTCTAGAGAAATACTACAATATACATTACGTATATTATAGTATTTTGCTAAAATTTCGCATACATTTCTTTTCAAAAATAGAAGCCCAGATCCGTATATACAGATAACGAATACTCGGATACTTCAGGTATTCCGAGTTCTAATACATATACGTGTGTATATGTGTATATACGTATCATACATACATATTTGCACACACGCACGCACGCACGCACATTTCTCTCTTTAACAATAAAACGTTTCACTCGACAAGTCTGCTAGCTTTGTTCTATTTTACATTTTATATATATA